AGTGGAAGGATGTGCATGGGCTTTAAAGTGTTTACAGTAAAGGTGATCTATGTGACTCGGTGTGAGCGCTGAGAAAAGAATGGCCCCCATTAAAAGACCAAACACAAATAAGTCAGTCAGGTTGGGTGATACATCACTCCAGGCCAGACAGACAATTTAACCACGCTGGTCAAAATATCGTCTCAGTAACTTAAAAAAAGCTGCAGTGAATCTTCCTTCACTGTACTTCCATAAACGCTGCTCTCGGGAATCAGACACCACACAGAGAGGTAGCAGGAGGGACCTTTGAATGGACAGATGTATAAAACTCAGCTCTTTGCAGTCACGGCAGCGCTCCACAGAGTGGCTGTCAAAAGCCTGGAGCTTTTATACAGCCTACCCATGAGACACGTGAGGCCCCCAGTTCTCCGTAACAACAATTTACTCTGTTTCAACCCCACTCAGAAACTGTATATATCACATCTTCCACTGCCATGCCACCAGAGTTTTCAACACTACTGCAGCGACGCAAAACTCATAAATGCCAGAATGTGTTTAGTCAGTGCGGGTATATGAGTGAGGCTCGCTCTCAGCAGAGTGTCGCTCAGAGACTTTTTTAACCCCCTGCCTTCTGCTCTTTATAAATCACCAGCACACGCACACACCCACACACACTCACAAGAAGTAACACATTTTACTGGACGGTGTCCAATCTAGACTAACAAAAGTGGAGGAAAGCATAACTACAGAAATGTGCAGTAAATAAACCATAATTGTTATCTGTGATGAGTAATAATGATATCATCTATAAATGGTGCAGACGTGCAAAGACATCTGCAAATGATTATTACTCACATTTTTTCTCTCTGGACAATCTTTAGTCGACAAACCATTTAGGGCCAAATTGTTTGGTGAATTTTTTTAAAACTATTTATTACTTTGTAGAAGAAATTGTATGTTTGTTTTTTCTCTCGCTACAAGTGATTTTGTTTTTCTATTCCAATGGCTGAATGATCATTTGAGAGTCACTTGACTCAAAGTTTTCGGAGGAAGCCATGAAAAACCGATTTTGATTGGTAAGATAAGCTCCATTATTGGTCACAAGTTATTTTAAGATAACTTAAAATCAACTTTAACTGGCTAATGCATAATTTAGTTATTCATTAAATTAATTTGTGGAAATTGTAAATAATTTCAATGAAATTATGTCTGAGTTTTTTTGTTAGTAAGAACTTTATTCTTTAAACTCTTAACTGACTTTTACTTCACATACAGGGTGTTTTTTGTATGTGGACAGAAAGAGAAGAAAGCGAACGACCCTCAAGTTTGAATAGTATGGACAGTCATGTATATATAGCTGAAATAACTACTAACTCAAAAACGATTTGAAATTATTATGTATTTTGTATTTAACTCATTTGTTTTTGTAGATTTTCACCAATAAGCTTTTCTGTTACTGTCGTCAAAGCACGCTCTTTCTATCAAAGAAAGAAAAGACTCAACTCAAAAAACAGTGTAAATGTGAGCGGTCAACTGTAGGGGGCGCTGATACCGGAACGTTTGTATAACGGAAATAGGAATACGTTGTTATTATTTCCAGTTGTGGATCCGGCGCATGAGACACGAGTGTTAGCCGTTTGGACTTCCTGCAGGCGTTCAAGTCAGAAAACTTAGCACCGTGGCTAAATGTGATTGATTTAAATTGTGGATTTTTGAAAACATTTGTCGGTTGTATTTTGTTTAAAATGGTAGTCGTTCGGTTTGAGACCGTTAGTGCAATTTACGCTAGCATATGCGTCTCGGCAGCTAACGTTAGCTTTTGTCAGAAGTTAAAATGATTCGTAGTTAGTTTATCGTCCTAAATAATGAACATATAGTTCTCGTGGTAAATAAGAAATTGGCCTTTGACGGAAGTTTGAGCTGGGCCGATGCACATTTTTGAAAATATGAAATTAACTTGCAAATATTGCTTTTCTGTACAGAAACCATTCTACTGCTGGGCCACGAGCAGTTCATCACTCACATGAAGCACAACGGAGAAGGAGATCTTTTGTTTTCCGGCGCTAAAGATCCAGTGAGTGACACGAAATGATTACGCTTAACAAGTGCCACCAATGACTATCGGAAAGTAAAGTAATAGCAATGTCCACGTGGAGCTACAAATGGCAACACGACTCTGCTAGTCGAGTAGCAGTCCTCTGCTAGTTTTGACTTGCAATTGTGTTATAAATATAAGGCTCTATGCTCTTTTCTGTGTGTGATATGTAAATCATACTGTAATCATGGAAAGGGGACACGACTAAGGCCAGTATCCCTCTGTGAATCCCTCGGGAGTACCAGCAGCACTTACAGCACCAAAACAACAATAAAAACGCACAAATAGGCAAAATACATTAAAATACATTAAAATACCTGAGTAGCAGCACACTGTCAATGAATATGGCAAATCTAAACAGTGGATGTTCGTAGATTAGTAGGTAATTACTGTTGCTGTGTATGGTGTTGTGATCTCAATTAATATATACAGTAGTATTATATTCTTGTTATACAATTGTTGTTCTAAATTAAATTGGTATGATGTGTATGTATATTAAAGTATACCACATGCCTATATGTATATATAAGAAGGACTAGTATAATTACAAGGATGATATGTGAACAAGTATATAAAATAAATATAAAACATATGAACTTGTGTGTGAGTGTAAATAGAGTAGTGAAATAATGAAATTAAATAAACAGTTAGCTACATAGGCGGTTCCAGCAGACATAAGTGTGTGAGTGTTTAAAAGTGTTTTATATTTTGGTGTTTAATTTTTTCCCTGTGTCCCTCCTTTAATGTTTCCCATTGAAACATGCAGGTTCGATTTCAGCGGCAACATCATCATGTTTTCCATAGACAAGCAGATGGGCTGTCAGTGTTGAACTTGTTCGACCTGAGGGGTCCACACATCGGTAGGTAATCATCACACGCAACGTAAACAAATTAATACCGTAAAAGAAATGATTGCAGATAGTACATGGCTTCCTGATTACTGCTAAAGAAATAGTCTGCACACAGTATTATAGAAATTAAATACTCAAGGAAATGATGAATTACAGACATGAATTACGCATCTTTTGTAGAGCTTGTGATAATGATGAACATTTATTGTTGTTGTATATTTGTTGTCAGTATTCCAGAGAAGTCCTGAAGAAAGCTAAGGAGCACAGCAGGCACATCAACAACATCCAGACGTCTGTGAACCTCACCATGTTCATCAGCGCCTCAAAGGACAACACCACTAAGGTGAGAACTCTAATGCAAATGATTAATGTGATAACAGTTGTTGAAAAATGTTACAAATAAAGTCATCAGAACAACACCTGGCTGACCATCAAGGAGGATGCCAAAAGAAGAGTTTTGTTGTTAACCTAAGAAATGAAATCTGAGTTTTTAGCTTTTAAAGGCGAATTAAGAAGAGAGTTGTCTATAAAGATATTGTTGATAATCATGTGTAAACATTTAGTTGTGCAATAGACTTTCCACTGTAATTGTAATGTTGGCGGTGCTGTGACTACTTTGTAGCTGCTTTTAAGGAAAACCTTTGTTTGTGTTAACATGTGGCACAGTGACGTGTTCTTCTAATCTACAGGTTCTTCCAAGCTGTGTATGAGGAGGAGTTTGGCAGGAGTCAAAGGTCATTCTGGTCCCATCAACTTTGTGGCTTTCCACCCTGATGGCAAGAGGTAAATGAGACCAACACAGCTTTTGATTGTTCCAGAAATAGTTACATCGAGGGTAACTGGATAAAGTAGGTTTTACCTCTCCTCAAGAGGCTTCCTTAGTTCAGCAGAACTGAAGAAGCCTCTTGGATGAGAAATGTCTTAAAAAAAAACCTACCGTACTTTGTCCAGTTGCCCTCGATGTAACTATTTTTGTATTAAATGACTGAGAACCTACACAGACCGCTTTTGATTGTTATTCCAGTTCATTGTTGTCATTCGTTGTGCCTTGTATGCTATTGTCATTGTCTTAACAGATGCAATGGAGGACAAGACTCGTGAACACAGCAGCTTGGACTCTGCCAGGTAGAGTGAAGGAGCAATTTTATTTGAAGCAGATCACTTGTTTGCTTGGTTTGGTTTGAGTGTTTTACTGAAATGTGTAATTGCATGATTAAAGTGTTATTCTGCTCATTCCATTCATTGTGCCTTAATGCTATTGTCAGTTACTTAACAAAGTCACTTTTTGGCAACACTTAGTCTTTTTTTTTTGGGCTATTGTAGTTAGGGTTATTCCATTCATTGTATGCTGTATTTGACTGAAGAGAAAATGTTCCAGAATAAAGAAAATACATACAAGGTGAACTCTTTCCTACAGTACATGATTTATCACTGCGTGCAATTACTTTAAACTTTTTGGGCTGTGGTCCCGAGTTGTAATGGGAATCCGCAGCCAATTTCTTACAGCAAGTAAAAAAAAAAAAAAAAATTTGGCAAAGAGATACAAAGAACCATACAACTGGACGAAGAAGGTTACTCTTTTATTAGTGAGAACTGTTGAATAAATTATTAACGTTGTCACGTGGGTTATGATCATTTTTTATGATAAACGTTGCTAGATTTTAGTGATGGTTTATAATGATCATGCGCCATCTAGTGTTAAAGGGTAAGCAATGACAACGTGCGCCCCAAGATCAGGGAGCATGGCTAAAAAATGTATCGAAAGCGGGCCGTAATGAAGCTCCAGACTGACGTCTCCCATAATACCGGAAATTATTTTTTTGTTTAATAGCCGTCAAAACAAAAGGTTTCGTCAGCGAAGTAAGTGAAGCGTCTTGCATCTGTAAAGCATTTTAACCTATGGTGTTAGCAATTATGTTGGTGTAAGGTTACACATAATAACCACTTAGCTGGTTTTAATGAGACCTAAAGTTTGCGACAACAATTCTTGAGACGCGAACCAAAGGTGAGCCAGTACTTGTTGTTGTTTTGGATTTTATTTCGAAGATCCGCAGCGGAAGTGATAACTTCATACTGTGTCTAGCTTGGGCTGGTGTGGTGTAAGCCTCTTCTCAGCCTCCTTCCTGCTGCTGCTGAAAGTAAACAGCATGGCTTACAGTGCGAAGATCGGCCCGTCCATCCTGAGCAGTGACCTGTCCTGCCTGGGCAGCGAGTGTGTAAGGATGATGGAATGTGGGGCAGATTATCTGCACCTGGACGTCATGGACGGGTAAGTTTTCACTACATTTTACTCCCAAACAGCTAGCATGCTAACGGCTAGTCTGGAAGTTCAGTGTGAGGCAGCTCAAGTTGGCTAACAAGAGTTAGCCGCTCAATTAGCATGCCTAGTAATAAGATAGCATTTTTTAAAAGTAATTATTTAGCATTTAGACAGAGACATGTATTTTTATGTCGTATAAAACTGTGAAAGGTATAACGTTAGCCCCAGGTGTTAGTTCTTTCTTTCTTTTTCTCTTTTTTAGACATTTTGTCCCAAATATTACATTTGGTCACCCTATGGTAGAGTGTCTGAGGAAGACAGTGGGCCAGGATCCATTCTTTGGTGAGAAAAAAAAAATTCCCACATGCATTGCACTGACTCATGAATATTACAAAAACGTTTTGCACAGTCTGTTGTGTAGAAACATTTTGTGTAAGTGTTTTGTTGTTTGGTAAGTTTCAGTGTCACAACTGTGTAATTGCAGACATGCACATGATGGTGTCACGACCCGAGCAGTGGGTGAAGCCTATGGCAGCAGCAGGAGCCAACCAGTACACATTCCACTTAGAGGCCACCACCAACCCTGGAAACCTCATCAAGGAAATACGAGAGAGTGGCTTGAAGGTGAGTAACTAATTCTGCACAGAGGCTAAAGTCTGTTCCAACTCCTTAATGAGAGAAGAAAATGAGAAGACAATTTAATAAGTAGTGTTAGTACAGGTGTAGGTATTAGTGTACAGACTTACACCTGGGAGGAGACCTGGAAGAATTATATATATAATATTTATTATAATAATAGTATATATTCTAAACAACTTTAGAAGCAAATGTTAAAAATAAAAGACAATTTTCCACACAAAACACAAAAAATAGCTGATAGTTTTGGAAAATATTTTTATTTACAAAATTTGAAATATACTGAATATATGTATATACGTTTATTTATTTATTTGGTCTTGTTAGGCAAAACTTAGTAAGTAAGAAGTAAGTAAGTAAAAAGCAGTCAAAGTTGTTGGTAAAAATGCAATCCTTAAAGAAGGTTGACTAATCATTTTGGTCCAAATCTGTAGTTTATTAGTATCACAGTATGAGTCCTTTTTCATTGTAGTTTATAATATGAAAAGGATACTTGTCCTCCGTCTTTGGAACATTTTTATTTTCTAAGTTAGCTTGTAACCAACCCTTTGTTGATGCTGTAGGTTGGTTTGGCTATAAAACCAGGTACCACCGTGGAAGAGCTGGCACCTTGGGCGAAACAGATTGACATGGCTCTGGTCATGACTGTGGAGCCAGGCTTTGGAGGACAGAAGTTCATGGAGGACATGATGCCCAAGGTGAGTACAGACTGTCGATACAGTCGAAGCAGCCGAGTCCAGAAACATTTGTGACAATTTGGCTTTCATCGTATGTGAATGTGAAACAGTGTGCGCTCAAATTAGCAGGACATTAAAAAAACAAAACAAATAAAAAACTAAAGATCAAAATTGTGCTGAGATTGCAATGTATTCACATGACATTGATGAAGACTAAATAAAATGATGGCCAACTCCATTGTAGTTACAGATTAGACTCCTGTGGATTGCAATGAAAATATTTGGACAGTGACATTATCTGCAACCAGGTTAAAGATCAGGTTAAAGAGCCAAAAGTCTCCCGTGAGAAGACAAATTTGAAAAAAAAAAAAAAAAAACAAGTAAATGTGTAAATGAAGGATAAGATAAAACTAAGATAATAAGACAAGCCCAACTTAAATTAGCTAAATAATTTGTGATACTCTTGTTTCCTTATGTAAACCACTACATTTGGACAGATGTTGTGAAATGTTATTGTTGTGGACTGTGTTCATTTGAACATTTTAACAACAAATTAGTTTGTTAGACAAAAAGGTCTTGGTCTGATTTTGTTTCTTGCTGCTTTACCACCAGGTGTCCTGGTTACGGAGCCAGTTCCCTTCTTTAGACATTGAAGTGGACGGAGGCGTCGGACTTGAAACCATTCACAAGTGTGCAGAGGTAATCAACACAAACAACAAAAATGTAGATAGTCACACTCTGGAGATTTTTTTTTATTAATTAAAGTAAAAGGGAATTATTATCAATGTGTTATAGCACACCACTACACACAAATTAAACGTTTCCTCTGCCTTTAACCCATATGGCTGCATATATCAGTATTGGTTGATATCAGAATCGGAAATTAAGCGTTTGGACAATACCTGCATATTGGATGTTGGTAAAGGGTTAACATCAGACATCCCTATTTATAATTGTTTTGTGACTTACTCTCCAGGCAGGAGCCAACATGATTGTGTCCGGCAGTGCTGTGATTGGCAGCGATGACCCTCGCTCTGTCATTGCTCTCCTGCGAACTGCAGTGGCCGAAGCCATCCAGAAACGCTCACTGGACCGCTGAGGACCGAAGCTGCTCCTGGGTCTCAAATTCTACCTGTCTGTCAAAGCAGCTCCTCACAGGCAATGGTACTGGACACACAGGTAATGAAACCTGAACCACTACGGCTTTGACTGGTGCCTCTGCAGAGTCCAACTAAAGACTTGACCAAACTGATCAAAGTTAATCACTCAGAGAATGGGCTGAACCTACTTTCTGATACCACATCTGGTAACATTCCTGTGTCTTTTGTCTCATACTGTAGTTCAGCTGATAAGATCAGAGTTTCTGGATAATTATTTAATCATTATTGTTTATTATTTTCCAACAATTTACAGACTTAATGCTGTGTGAGAAGGAAACAACTGTACACAACATCAATGAAATTTGGTTTTGCATAAAATTTTGTTTAGCCCAGGTTGCCACGTGTCTTCTGTGTGTCATATCATTCTTGGCCAGGTGTTAAAAAGTTATGACATTTTTTGGCAATTCTATTTTTCAAAATAGTATCTCGTCTGTGTGTTTCTTATCAAATTAGAACATTATGTGAATTTTTTTCAAAATTTTTTTTTTTCGTAATAATTGTAATTTGGCATGTTAACAATCTAAATTTTCATCTTTTCTCTTTGTTTCTCGTGCAATTAGAGCATTTTGAGGAATAAAAAAAAATTCAAAATATTTTGGCAAAATCTGAATTTTGCGTGTCTGGTGCCGTCACATGGTGAAAAATTTTGATGATTTTTTTGGAAAACAAAATTCAAAATAATAACTTTTCTGCATGTTTCTCATCGGATTTCAGCATTTTGAAAAATTTCTTAGTAAAATTTTTTTTCTGGATTTTCTTTTTGGAAAATCCTAATTTTTCTTGTCATGTGGTCAGATGGTAAAACATTTGGTAAATTTTTTTTGGAAAAAAATTTAAAATTGTATCTGCCTGTTTTTCATCAAATTACAGCATTTTGAAAAAAAATTAGAGTACAAATTTTTTCTGAATTTTTTTGGAAAATCCTAATTACACTTGTCACGTAGTCAGATGTTAAAAAAATTTGATGAAAATATTTGGAAAACAAAATTTTATCTTTTCTGCATGTTTCTCATCAAATTACAGCATTTTGAAAATATCACCAAAAACATGCTTCACTATAGCCTTACCATCATGAAAAAAGTCCCAGAAATGCCTTAAAATGCAAGACTATGTCCTAAAACATGCTGCCAAGTGATTATTTTGTGTTTAAAAGTCCAACTTTTGACGTCACCGAGAAGTCACTTGGAGGTTGGAGGAATTTTTTTTTCTAAAAAAAAAAAGTAATTTAAAAAAAAAAAATTTTTTCAAAAGATTACTTAGACGTCACTTGGAGGTCACTTGGACTTCACTTTGAGATCACTTGGAGGTTGCTTGGACGTCACTTTGAGGTCACTTGGACGTCACCTTGAGGTCTCTTGAGATCACTTGGAAGTCACTTTGAGATCACTTGGAGGTTGCTTGGACGTCACTTTGAGGTCACTTGGACGTCACCTTGAGGTCTCTTGAGATCACTTGGAAGTCACTTTGAGATAGATCACTTGGAGGTCGCTTGGCCGTCACATTTTTTTTTCCAAAATATTTTTTTTTCTAAAACATTTTTTCTAAAAAAAAATTAAATTTTTTTTTTCTGAAAAAAAATTAGTAATTTAAAAAAAACATTTTTTTTTCAAAAGATTACTTAAACGTCACTTGGAGGTCACTTAGAGGTTGCTTGGACGTCACTTTGAGGTCACTTGGAGCTCACTTGAGATCATCTGGAGGTTGCTTGGTCTTCACTCTGAGGTCACTTGGAGGTTGCTTGGACGTCACTTGGACATCACTTTGAGGTCTCTTGAGATCACTCGGAAGTCACTTTGAGATCACTTGGACGTCACCTTGAGGTCTCTTGAGATCACTTGGACGTCACTTTGAGGTCTCTTAAGATCACTTGTACGGCACTTGGAGGTCACTTAGAGGTTGCTTGGACGTCACTTTGAGGTCACTTGGACGTCACTTGAGATCACCTGGAGGTTGCTTGGTCTTCACTCTGAGGTCACTTGGAGCTCACTTGAGATCATCTGGAGGTTGCTTGGTCTTCACTCTGAGGTCACTTGGACGTCACTTTTTTTTTCCCAATTTTTTTTTATTTTTCCCAAAAAAAATTCGAAAAAAAAAAAAAATCTTCCCCAAATTTTTCTTTTATTTTTCCCAAAAAAAATTTTTCAAAAAAAAATAAAAAAAAAAAATTTCGAAAAAAAAAATTCTTAAAATTGAAAAGAAATTCGAAATAAAAGAAAATAATTTTTTTTCCCAAAATTTGTTTTTCTATTTTTAAAAAAAAAAAACATTTTTTTCTAAAAAAAAATTAAATTTTTTTTTTCTGAAAAAAAATTAGTAATTTAAAAAAAACATTTTTTTTTCAAAAGATTACTTAAACGTCACTTGGAGGTCACTTGGACTTC